TCCAGACCAGTAAAAAGTTGAAGGATCGAAATCCAACAAATCAGTGATGAGCAATCAATGGCACAAGATAAGCAACCACAGGGCGAAAACGCAGACGGTCTCCAACACTGAGGCGGGAAAACACGTTATCCAAGAACGAGAACAACATGCAGGTGCAAAAGAGCGACGTCAACAGACAACCTTCCCTTATCGCTGCTCCACTGTAACTTCAGCAAAAACTAAGCCAGAGCGATTCGAGATATTTAGACATAAAGTAGACATGACGTCATCTCACGGCAGCCAATCAGCTGACAGCATGACTCAGCTTTCCAGATGATGTAACTTCGAGTTTCGTTTTTGCATCTTAATTAGGCTGGAACAGTTCATTCTTAATACAAACAGTGGCAGCATAAAACGAAATAGAAATAATTACTATATTCCTTTAAAATAAAAACTAAACCTCATGTCAAAGTTAGAATTATTTCAAGGAGGAGAGATGATGCAGAAAAGGGGTTACAATAATATTTTCAACAGCTTTCAACGTCTGTGCAAAACTTGCCTTTTTTTAGGGGGGAGGGATCGCAGTATGAAATTCCCTGACTTTCCCAGATTATGACTAAAATATTTAAATTCCTTGACTTTTTTTGGTCAGTTTTCGAATTCCCTGACTTTTCCGGTTTTCCAGGTAGTGTGGCAACCCTGGCACGTTAACAAAAAGATGATCAACACACATGATTATAATTTCTTGAAGAATTTGACTAAATTGTGCAAATAAAGCATAAATATTTGAAAAACGTGTGAAAACATAAGCCCATATTAAAAATAGTATGTGCAATAATTCTAAAATTATTCCTTCATTATGCTTTATTTGTAATTTTATGGGGGGAGAGGAATAACAAAATATTTTAAAATCATCTTAATAAATAAATATATACAGTATAAAGTCCGTAATCCGGACGTCCATTATCCGAAATGATCTATAATCTGGACCTCAAAGCCACAAACTTACGCATGCACGTAAAGCCAGTAAAGCATTTAAACATGCACGCTTCCGATAGTGAAGAAAGTGACAGACAGGTTATTGAAAACAAAAGAATTCTGATTGACAAGTTAATCGGTATTCTCCACACAGGAAATACAGGACTTGAACAGTGGAACTTTGTAACTGAACAAGAAATTATGTCTGTTTATAGAATTAAAGAGAAAGTATTAGCACAAAAAACAAATCAACTTAAACAACTTACATTGAAAGAAATATTGGTACTATTCCGTTTTGAGGACCGTAAAAAATTGCAGTGAAAATGTATGCGCAAAAGCGCCAAATCTAGCAAACGCGCCCATTTAACAGAGCGCTAAATCTAGCGTACACGCTGATTTCAGATTGCGTAAGTTTATATAGTTCTATATTTCTTAAGACGCCATTGAAATACTAGTTTAATTTTTAAATTCTTTTTTGATTTTAAATCCTTTTTTAATATCCTATGGATTTACAATTTGGGAATTGCCATGACGAAAAGTCGGCAATAAAATTTTGAGTAAAGTGCAGAATCACCCACTTTTTGATGCATTTTTAAGAATTGCACATACTCGGTATCCATGTGCACATCTTCCTATTTTCACTTAAAAAAAAAAAAAAAAATCTCAGAATTGCACAAAAATGGCACTGCGCACACTCTTGACTTTATTTATGTACACATCGACCTATTTTCACTTGAAAAGTAAAAGAAAATTGACAAAAATTCAATTGTTTTAACCCTTGTAAAAAGCAACAAACAAATAAGTGAGCGATTCTGCACTTTATCGAGAATATTTTCAAAGAAAAGGCATCAGTCATTATAGAAAGTTACGTTTCAACAACCAACGAGATGAAATTATGCTTTAGCGATAAGTCGGTAGCGAAGTAGCGACGCAGGCATCCATTCAATTATGTTTAACAATGTTTATATAAATTATAATAATGACTGAAATAGTTATTTACTCTTATGCTTCCATTCAGTCATGTTTAGCCTTTTTCATATAAATTATAATAATAAAAAAGTATTATATGAAATTAACCTTTCATCTAAATTAAAACATCAATCTTAGTTATTTACTATTATACTTCCTTTCTTGCCGCAATTATTAGGGTTGCCACAATTATTTTTGGCAGCATTGGCATCAACAATAGTTTGGCAATTTTTTACGGCCCTCGAAACCGAATAGTACCGAAATATTTAATAAAGTAAACAAATAAATATTAAGATTTTTTCTTGTAAATTTTGATACCCTTTAGATCATAATTGCTCTTTATTTCATAAATTAAGGTTTCATATTTTTAATTGTAAAATTTCTGCGTGCCATCTTACCAGATTTAAATTCATGATCTATAATCCAGAAAAACCCGTAACCCGGAATCGCCAAAGTCCTGACGAGTCCGGATTACGGACTTTGTACTGTATATATATGGTTACCTTGTTTCAAATATTTACATCTCAACAAAGCTAAAATGATCACTTAAGAGCAAAAGCTTTTCCTATCTTTTAAAAATGAAATTACATTAAATGCAAGTTAATTACAAACATCAATGGCAGCCATTTTCTTTACAGACAAGGGCGAATTTAAGATTTGTGCTAGCAACTGAAAGCTATACACGTGGTGCCCCCCCTTTTTTTTAAGGCCAACTCTTAAGACAAAAATTCCGGAAAAAATAAGGGTAAATACAACATCTGTACTATATTTCTTTCAGTTTATCTTTGTAAAACATTTTCATACAAAACAAACTGAAACCAAATGAAAAATCACACACAAAAGCAAGGCTTAATGTTTAATTTAGAAGAGCTAGAGGTTTCTAAATGAAAAGTGAATAAATTAAAAAATCTGATGTGGGTACCAAATAACTTCCAGTCGAAGGAGGTAATTCCCTTCTATTCTGGTTAGGATCTATACTTAGGCAGCCTTGGAATTGAGGTAACAACATCAATCTTCACAAGACTAGAACCATTGTTTATTCAGTGGTAAGTACAGACTCAGCAGGGAACATAATAGAACTTTCACATCTGCCCTTCAATTGTGGGGACACTACATATTTGATATTTATGATTGTCCTTGGAGAAACACCCCATCAGTAGATTCAGGGAGTTTGATGTGGTCTTTGATTGCTTTTGGTGATTAGTTGGCACCTTGTTTCCCTGATACTATGTATAACATACTCAGCCTTATTGTCTTCCCCCCTGTAGTGCTGAGGAGATCAACTCTTTCCTCATTTTCAAATTGACTGGTTTAGTGTCCTGGTTCACCTCTGAATTGTGATTTTAGTCTATCATCTTGGGATTAGGCATCTGAGGCAATGGCATTTTGTTACATTGTTTTTACTCCCAGGGGTGTGGATATAGTTGATGATTTCTGTCTGTAACTTTCAACGAGGTTCTGTTCTAGCTCCATGGTTCAATAGCTAGGATCACAATCTCTTGGACCACTTCTGAATTTGGAGCATTATTAATCTTATGAGGGCTTAAGTGTGCCCAGGTCTGGAGCTTCATTGTCTACTGTTCATGCATGTCCTTTTAAATTATACACATTTCTTGCTGCACATTTAAAATTATTTTCTTGAATTATTCTAACTTAATTAACCAGTTCCTCAAGGCAATGAAAAAAATGACATAAAAAATTCTAAATTTTGAAATTAAATATTTCAGTCAATTTTGGCTGGAGTCAAACTTCCTATAATTTTTCTTTTAAAATGAGTACAGAACTTTCTCAATTAGTAGAAATACAGGTACCAGGAGAGACCGCATTTAAAGTTAGATTTCATTACTTGCCCCAAATTCAGTTTTTTTAAATCTGACACTGCCATAACATGAGTCTTCATCATTTACAGCACTTCTGTAGTTAGAAGTAGCTGACTAAGATCAATGATTGCAAAAATAAAGGCCAAGTAAGGGGATGAATATATATATATACACAAGTTTGGTACTGCTAGTTGCAATAAAAAATGAAGGTGTACAACTAGATGTTATAGCAGTCCCATATATAAAATTGGGAATTCAAAATGACTAATTGTTTTTGAGTTGTGCAAGATAAGTACACAAACATGTCAAAAAAAAAAAAAAATCATCTGGACTCCATTTTACAGTTTGTCTTGGAAAAAAGACCTTTATTCTGTCCATATGTCACACAAAAAAATAGTTAAAATGGATATTTCTGTTGAAATATGATTGCAATACTTCCTCTACTGCATATGAGGAAGTAAAAAGTAGCATCAAAATGAAATAACAAACACAAGAATAATAAATTTTTATTAACAAGACATAGTTTTGAGAATAAAATAAAGGCTAGTATTTTAATTTTAGTAAATAGAAGAATTCTTCTCAGTTGCAGAAAATTACTTTTATTATGACTTCTAATCCAGTTAAAGGCTTCTTGACCAGATTGCTATAACTCACAAAATTTCTCTTCCTGAAGGGACTAGATTTTGACTTAGGACTTTAATGGATTTTACTAACTAATGAATAAAATATTGCAATAACAGCAGCATTTTCTGTTAATACTGCAATTCAGATACAAGTACTTAGTAGATGACAATTATTATTACATTACCACTGTAACCAATTAACACACATATATGCATACACACAAAAATAAAGGCAACTCATCTTATTTAGAATTTCAGGAAACTCTAGTTGAATTTAAGCCCAGAACATATGATAAATAAAGGCATATAATAAAATAATTATGTTTTCAAATTTTAAGGCCTAATTGTGAGATTTCATAATATTTAAGTCAATTTACAACTATTGATCCATTTTTCAGTGACAAATTTTGCTAATTTAGTTGAATACACAAAAGGACCTGATAGATGAGAGCAGCACAAGAGCCATGTTTCCTATAATGATGATTTAGTTGTAGGCTATAGAAGAGACCTGATTGGTTGCATGTGACAACTGGGTTACCAGTTAGTGAAAGCTAATTGATGACAATTATAATAACATTAACATGTATGTGTATGTAGATTTCTTTACCAAAAGAAAAAAGTAGAAACTTACATGACAGTCTGATCATCAACCAAAATATCACACCCAACTGCAGAGCAGGGAATAGTCTAAAGAAACCAGAAAAATATATAAATTATATAAGAAATAAATCTAATTTTTTTGTTGGAAAAATAATAATTGTTACTGTAATTATGCAGACATTTTCTCCATTAGTCAACAGATTATAGACAAATGGTTCAACAAAAACTGGATATTATTGAAATATGAACATCAAGAAATATGATATTCTACACCAGGGGTTCTGAATGAGAGAGGGATTACCTGCTGATGAGGGAATTCAATCAGAATTTTATTTACCTGTTAAGTATTTAGTTTCAATTTATGAACATAAAAAACTACTTTCATCCAAATTTTGGGTTATTTACCAACATTTTTTTTGTTTAATTTATAAAACACATTAAAAAATAATCTAAATTTATATAAATGTACATGTATTTTCCGAGTTTTAGAGTGAGAGGTACGCCGATATGTTACAGAATCGCATCGTCCCCAGCCTGGCTGATAAACACCTGCTGGAACATACGATTTTTATGCATAATGGCGCTCCACCCCATATTGCTAGACGCGTGAAAGGTCTCTTGCGCGCGCTGTTTGGTGATGATCATGTGCTCAGCCGCCACTTTCGTCATGCCTGGCCTCCCATGTCGCCAGACCTCAGTCCGTGCGATTATTGGCTTTGGGGTTACGTGAAGTCGCAAGTCTATGGTGATCGACCGACATCTCTAGGAATGCTGAAAGACAACATCCGACGCCAATGACTCACCATAACTCCGGACATGCTTTATAGTGCTGTTCACAACATTATTCCTCGATTACAGCTATTGTTGAGGAATGATGGTGAACATATTGAGCATTTCCTGTAAAGAACATCATCTTTGCTTTGTCTTAATTTGTTATGCTAATTATCGCTTTTCTAATAAAACCCCATGTCATTCTAAGTATGTGTGTCAATTTTTACCTCTCTATCTACATTATTCCGTGATTTATTAAGTTTTCAAATTTATACTGACTTTTTGATCACCCTGTATATATATATATGTGTGTGTGTATAAAGGTTCGTTTCCACTACTGCGTACAAATGCGTTGTGTCAATTGAAGACACATCTACATCCGTACAAGTGTTTCCACTGCCGCGTATCCGTACATTATTTTCATTTTCTGTCCCTAGGTGTCACTGTAATATTTTGGCGCCAAAACAACCAGTTCACGAGTTACGACGCTGAGCATCTGAATTTTTCCCGCTTAAGCGAGTATTGTTTGTTTTGGATTTGATATGGATCCTGACGTAGAACGCAGAAAAGTTTCGTTAACTAAATTCCAGGTTATTGGAAATTTTTATTTCTGCTTATGAACTGCGAAAGTAAAGTACGTTAGCAATTTTTAGATAAGTAAGGTTATAATGCATATTATGAACATCACTAATTGCAGAGAAGCTGAAGTAAATTTTAAAAATTTCTTTGTGTTTCTAGAAGCCTTAAATATAAATGAAAATATATGCATATTATTAAAACTGTTACTGAAAAAATAAAAAAATAAATAAATAAAATTAAAAAGTTAAATGAATTAAAAAATAATTGGTACTTTAAAAATACAGAGCAACTGTAAAGAAAGGTTCACAATATTTACACAAAATTTGCTATGCTTGTATACCGCTGACTTCAAGGTCACAGCTGGATAATTTATTAGAAATCTCGTTTGTTTTAAAATGCACTAGGGGCAGTTATATTTTATGCATAATCCATAAAATATTATTTTTAATTTAAAAATTCTTAATTCATATTTTTTTATAGAAGTTATAAAAATAAGCTTTTTCTCTTTATATATACATACATTAGCTAAAGAAAATGGAAATATTTAATTAATTAATTCCTGCACTTCTGCTGGAGAGGACTTAATTTAAAAGCAATTATTATAGTAATTTTTTGTTAAAAATGCTTAGGGCATTTACTGTCTCATGTTAATTGGTAATGAAAGTTTAGAGCCGTAAACATCCCAAAGTCTGAGCACACTATTATTCACTTATGCATTTTTACACATTTTTTAGTATTAATAATCTATCCTATTATTCACTCATGCATTTTTATAAATTTTTTAGGATTAAAAATCTATCCTATTATTCACTCTGCATTTTTATAAATTTTTTAGGATTAAAAATCTATCCTATTATTCACTTATGCATTTTTATAAATTTTTTAGTATTAATAAATTTTTGGAATTATATATTTATTCATGGATTTTGATACTTGCACTTGATTTACATATGCTCTCAGAATTTAAATGATATTGTAGATTAGTTCGCAGCAATAATTAATCATTTATTTGTTTGTATTAAATTTCATTAACTTTAAATTTGTTTATTACGAATAGAGAATGTTTGTTAAATTCAAATATATATGTACAGGGTATGCATTAAATTCTTATTATATGACTTTCAAACTTTTTTGCGGGAAAAACTTCAATAAATAAGAGCATAAATAAAACAATATATTGAATGCATATAATAATAGAAATAAATTATAAAACATGAATATAGATCAAATTGGAACAAAAAGCTAAGAAAGTTGCAGACAGGGTGCAAAAAGCGTATGGAATTTGAGCTCATGACCCCAAAAGGTAAACATTGTTACCGTCAGCTTTACCACTAAGCTAGCGTCACACGGTAGTCGCATGTACTATATTTTGGTTTATATACATCATCGAGTAAATCAATTCTTAAAACTAATTTTTTTGCTCCTATTTCAGTGCGCTATCGTCTGAAAAATTTACCAGAGTTTGTTCTTCAGCTTCTAGTACACTTTTTACAAAAAAAATTATCTTTTAAAACGGCGTTCCAATTGAAGTTAAATGGGCAACTAAAAATATAGTTCATGTGCTTACAAATATATGTTAGCCAAAAAGATACATTTATAAATAGGGAAATACAAATTAAAATACTCTTTAATGCAATGGAATATTTAAAAGGCTATCAAATTTAATTTATAATTAATGTTTTTAGTTTTTTACTGTTTCAAAAGAAAAAAATAACAAATCTTTTAATCATATCTAATTTGCTGTAGCAGTTTGATATAGTCAGACATTCATTTTTCATTAAAGGCAAATGAGTATGCAGAACTAGGAAATAATTGTCAGGACAAATTTTGCTATTTCATGGACTTGGAATTATAATTTTTGCCTCTGATTTTCTTGAACGCCTGATTTTATCTGCGAACAAGTACACTAGTTGCAGTTATCTTATTTTTCTTATCTTTTTTTAACTAAATTCAGCTGATTGATGTCTTTTTCAGCACGCAGATTTCTCGCTATAATGTTAATTCAGAAATAAGTATTTTTTAGCAAAACATTCTTTCCCTAAGCGAGCGTTCATCGCTACGTCTGCTGCCATTAATTTTTGGTGACTACACCTGATTGCTCCTTTTTTACCACGTGACACCAATGCATCCGCAGACATATGGATAGAAGTTGAAAATTGTTGAACTCCATCCGTACGTCATCCGTCACCGCACATTGACCGGATTGCAGATGTCAATCAAAGTGAATTCGCTCGCTGATTGGAGAAACGCATACACAGCAGTGGAAATGGGCCTTAATATGTGTGTGTGTAAACATATACATATGGGTTATAGCTTATTTTTTTAATATAAAAGAAGTAGTAGATGCTAGAGAAAAAAAAAAAATGATGGCATAGCAAATTATTTATATTAATTAGCATTTATTATGAAATAGAAAAATTGACATTAGTTATTTTAAGAAATAGCATAGCTTCGGCAAGACCTTCTTTGTTGGAAGTCCATAGACCTGATTTTATAAACTTAAGCTAAGTTAAGCTAAACTTAAGCTAACTGTTAATGCTACTTCTTTTAACTTTTCAGGATAGATTTTTATAAGTTCTAAAAGGGGTGTCTTGCTAGCGCAATCATATTTCTCTATTTCTTCAAAGGCCATGTAGAAATCTTGTTTGTATTTTTTCATTTTTATATCTAAAGGCTCTTGGCTTTTTATTTTTATTCGCTTTGCCTTAGCCTTTTCAATGTTATCCAAAAATATTTCTCAAAATCTAATTCATCACTGGAAGAGGATGATAGAGACTCATTTGCAATATCTGCAGTTTGACTGTTCTGATTCGAATTCTCCAATTGTTCTGAGAATAATTTCATTATTAATGAAAGTTTATAGTCTTTGCCTTTTTAATTTGTTCGTCATCCTAGAAAATTCGATGTTTCACATCTACATATATTGAACCCAGTAAGATATCATTGTCTAGCAAACTAGTTTCCCTTTTCTTCATTGAAGAAATGATTCTTTCTGCAATAAACCCTCCATTTCAGAAGAAACAAGCATCACATTCTTCCATTCTTGCCTCTTGTCAATTCTTCAGATTGCAACTTTTTTGTGGCTATATACGATGTAAAAAGAGTTTTTAATTCTGCGTGATCATTCCACAGTCATTCTGATAGTGAAATATTAGGATTATCTACATCTTCTAAAAAAGTTCTTAATACTAACAACCTCTTTATGATCAAATATGTATTTCCTTATTGCGTTGCTTGATCAATAACTGCTCCTTTTCCTGCTCGCTTCCTAAGAATGGTATCAAATTTGGGAGTTCTTCCTGCTATTGCTGCTTACCAGAGATTTGTAACTAAATTAATCAGTTTAATCACTAATGGCAAATATTACATCCATCCTCCTCCCTTATATTTATTTATTAATATTCCAATAAAATAGAAAATAACTCTTTATTATTGCATATAGTCCATAAATAAAAATAATAACTCAGCTTATCATTAATTTTTTTCAATTCATTTAAATTTCAAATTCAAACTGTCCAACAAAAACTTGAGTCGATCTGTTTTTAGCACCTCCAGCTCAGTCTCCTTTTATCCCAAAATTTCCCCGACTCCGATTCCAACTCTGACTCCACAGCCCTGACTTTAATACTCACATTTATATATATACTTTAATATACATCACAGCTATCAACCTTGCTATATGAAAAACGTTTTATATGTGGTGATACAACTTCAAAAACACTCCACTGACAGGGCCACTGAACTAATTATAATATAATTTTGATGTGAAACATATTAAAATTTTAAATTTAAATAAGAGCTATTTTTTTACTAATTAAATGCAAACATTTTATTTATTAAGTATTACTGAAGTCTTCATACAATAGTTTACAAATCTCTAAAATCAACTAACACAGTTTAAATCAAATAAAATTAAATCAGAAATGTCACACTGAATATGACAATCAGAAACAAATTTTTTTAAAAAAATTGCATAGTTTTACTTTTTTTAAAGATCACAATGCTTAAACTTCACTGAGAATGAAAAGGATTTTGGTCATGATATAGTATGCAGACAGCCGTTTTTAGATGGTCATTTAGTTTTTAGATGACACTTTTAAAATTGTTTTAATATCCATCATTTTATCCACATGTTCTAATATTATGAAACTATTGAATTATGAAGCTACTGAAATTTAGATTCCACAGTATTATAAATTTAATGGGTTATTTAATTAATGGAATCATTTTCACTCATGTATCCTTAATTAACTACATTCATTTTCATACTTAAAAATCGCATTAAATAGCATCATCTAAGAAATAAATAAATAACTAACATCAGCAGATCACATACCATATTACTTCTGAGATTTTTCATCAAAATCTTTCTCATAGCCTTTCTTTTTCCTTCAAAACTGAGTAATTAATAATTTTCAAAACTTAATAATTAATAATCCTGGAATTATATTTGAAAGAAATGACCTAAATTAATATAAAATTAGAGAGAGAAATGGCTAGATCCTCTGGGACCATCTAGATAGCCATCATAGAGATAAATAGACCATCTGGATATTTATCAGAAATTAGCATGCAGTAACAATTTTCAAACGTTAAAAATGTAATGCCAGTTTTCTTTAAAGATACGCACATAATGCCAATTTACAAATAGCAAGCACATTTGAGAACTTACTGGGCAAAATTCAATGCTGCCAATGATGTGCATGTGTAAATGTCAAATACATCCAAAAAGAGATCTGCTATTTAAAAATAATAATAATAATAAAAAGAGAGAGAGAGAGAGATGCAAATTAAATTTAGTACAGTCAAAAGTCGTTAATACGGACTCGTCGGGACTTCGTTGATTCCAGATTATAGGTCATCAGTTTAAATCTGGTAAGATGGCAAGAAATTATAAAATAAAAAATATGAAACCGTAATTTATGAAATAAAGAAGAATTATGATCTAAAGGGTATCAAAATTTACAAAAAAAAAAAAAAAAAAAAAAAAAAAAAAAAAAAAAAGAGCAGAGCAGCGTGAAATTTACAAAAACAATAAATAAATAAATAAAATAAAAAATAATAAAAAAATAAATAAATAAAAATAATAATAAAAAAAAAATATTTGTTTACTTTATTAAACATTTCTTTCAATGTAAGTTGTTTAAGTTGCTTCGTTTTTATGTGATAATACTTTTTCTTTAATTCTATAAACAGACATAATTTCTTGTTCAATTACAAAGTTCCGCTGTTCAAGTCCTATAACTGCTGTGTCGAGAATACCGACTAATTTGTCAATCGAAATATTTTCATTTTCAATGACCTCTGTATCACTTTCTTCGCTATCGGAAGCGAATTATCATGACGAGCAATTTGATTTAAATCATATCAAAGACGGAGTACATCATGATGAAATACTACATTTAGTAAGGAATTATAAGCCAAATAAAATAAAAACATCTGCTCTGAAAATAAGGATAGCGCTGACAGATCAACTTCCAGTTCATTGCGCGCCGAGACGCCCCCCCCCGCAGAGCAGCGTGAGATTGATAAACAGATTTCGGAATGGTTAGAGAAACAAATAATATGCTTTTATCCATTTTTTGCAACAATTCCACTTTTTGTTTGATGGACATCGAAACATACTTTCGCTTTATAGATCCTTTGGCAGCTCCAGCATCGGAAATTCTATTTGACACAATCGAAACTTCAAGCTTACTTTTATAAAATTGCTCTAACAGTCTGCAAAAAATAATAAGCCAGATCCAATTCAAAGATTAAGGAACAACGCAATCTGCAACATTAACTGAATTAGATAATTTTAGCTTAGCTTATACTGGCCGTCATACATTAAACGTGCATTCGTAAATGTATTTTGCGCATGCGCACACGCATATTCGCAGCCGTAATTCGCATGCAGCGTCAACGCGACGCATGCACAGAAAGTTTGTAGCTTTGAGGTCCGGATTATAGATCATTTCGGATTATGGTTGTACGAATTAACGACTTTTGACTGTATAAGGTATTTTCTCCCTCCTTTCTGCATGCTCTCATGGTGTAATTGGAAATATACTCGAAGTGTATTTGAGAGGTTTAGGGTTCAAGTCCCGGCAAGGGCAATGCACATTTTTCACGTCTCCATCATCAAAAACCCTAATGGCTCTACAGTGGCACTCGAACTAAAAGGTGGCGGATGATAATTTGTTACAATCAGGATTTGGAAGTTGGGTCTCCTAATATCCAGTCGGCCTTTAAAAGGGATGTATATAAAGCATTTTCTCCCTTGTTTCTGCATGCACACTTGCCAATCCCCATCACTCAAAAATCAGCAGACTTTTTTTTTAAGAAATAGAAAGAACTTTCTCAATGACAAAAAGATTGTTTTTTAATAATAAAAATACTTTCATCTTTAAATAATGAATTACCTTTAAATAGTTACTAATTAATATCTGAAAGTTCAGTTACTAATTTTTAAGTGCAAACAGTACGAAAATACTTACGTGTAAAAAAAACATTATAGTTTGCTTTTTTAACAGAAAAATAATACTTTAATCAGTTTTTGTGCAAATGATATGAACAGTGGCATATTTTCCTTTCACTAAGACAGAAGCTTAATAATTTTGTTCATAAAAAATGCCACATAGGCCTGCTTTTGCTAATAAAAGTTTTTCTGGTGCTTCATTACAATAATATAAGATCTAAATTTAATCCTTGTTTTAGTAACAACACTGAAAATCCTATCGCATTGTGCATGACTGTGGAGAACTGTCATGGCCATCAGCATGCAAATTTGGACAGTTCACTATACTTTAAGATTCCATTAGCACTTTTCAGTTTTCCAATTAAATTCCAAAGGGTGTCAGTCCTAATTGCTTTTCTAACTTTACACAAGTTTTCTAATAGTAAACTGCAAAACTGTGACTGCAATATCAGTGTCCCCTTTCATAACTAAATGAGGTAAGACTGGAAATCTATTTAAAAAATATCTTGTATCAGAAAAAGATACATTTGCTAGAGCAGAAACATCTGAAACTTTAGCACGTAAAATCACTTCATTGTTGACTAGAAATTTATGTGACATGGTATAAGATATTTCTTCCCTCCTTTCAGCATGCCTTCATGGTGTGACAGTCCATATTCATCCATACTCAGTGCATATTCGAGAGATCCTGGTTTGAGTCCCGGTGAGGGCATTGCTCATTTTTCATGTCTCTAGTTTCCAAAAAAAAAAAAAAAAAAAAAAAAAAAAAAAAAACTAATGTCTCTACAATGTAATCACATACTCAGCTGAAGTAGCTTCTAACATGGAAGTAAAACTTATTTCTGTCTTTCTCTGAAAATTCTTCCACCACTTTTTTAGTTGCAGCCCCTAGTGCATCATTTCGGATTATGGTTATATCTTCATCTTTCTTCTGGTTTTCTATTTTACTATAAATCGCATCATATATAAAATTAAAAGACAAAACAAAGTTTGGTTTTACAAACTTCGATAAAATATCTTTAAAAAGATCATAAATACTTGGTGGCAAAACATGAATTAATGGAATTCTGCTTTGTAGAACTGTGTTAAGAATATGGAATGATGGCAAAATACTTTGCTAAGGTCCAAAAACAAAAACATAAATATTCGTTCTCCACAAGACAAACTTACACTAATTGGAAAATGTTTCCCTTGTTGGGCAATTTTTTTTTTATTTTGAGAGAAATCTGTATCAGTTTTACGCTTATATTTTGGAGTATTATTTTGAGAACTGTCAAATTGTTCATAGGTGCAGAAACTGCTTTTCTCACAATTATTTTTAATAGTGGAAATAGTACTTGCATCTCCATTTATTAACTTTCAATAGAGCCTTTTATCTTAATTAAAGCATTTACTTCTTCTTTAAAAAATCAAGAAGTAGGTCAAGGATCAAGGATTCTAGATAAACATTTGCAGTAAAACCAGAACAAGTCCACAAATTTTAATGTGGCTAAGAGGCAAGCCTGTCAAGGCAAAGTTGTCGTCAACGGCTTAGGCCTTGAGCACCTTATAAGTGACAGTACAAATTTTCTGAGTTATGTCCCAATTTTGAAGAATCCCCTCGTAAACAGATCAGAGGATCTCTCTCAACTCCTCCACTTTCACCAACCTCTCAAAAAGTTGGTGGATGATTAAAAATAAATAAATAAAGAGCTGTAAAGAAAATACATAAACAAACATGCCTTTTACAGGATTCAAGCCCAGTCCCAAGGCTATGGCAGTTAGCTCATCTACATCCATGCTAAAAGGGTAGATTCACTTTTATTCAATTAGTGTCCCCCCCCAGTTACCGTTAAAGACCAGGGTGATTAGATGTTTTATCAATAATATACAAAATATCAGCCACCTCAAAAAGTAATAAATGATATCACTTTGATTTATATCTTACAATATCCTTACCTCAACATCTCCATGCTCCATAATTTTTGTGGTAAGATAAACAGTCCAACATTCTGTACAGAATCGGTGTCCACAAGCTAGACCTGTCATAAGCTATTATGAAGACAAAGAAATGAAAATTTTAAATTTAGAAAAATATTACAATCATGTTTCTGCCCCAGACAGTGGAAATAAGTAACAACGTAGAATTTAATGATGGTCAACAAGATGTGTACAATGATATATTAGGTCATATAAAAAGTTTCTGCACTTTTTGGTACATTTTTGAATAAAAATTTTCTTTATTGAAAATCAATTTTAATCAACTACATATTGACCATTATTATCTATGACCTTTGGCCATTTTTTGGGTAGCTTCATAATTCCATCGGTGTAGAACTTCTGTGGTTTATCTTCGAAAAACTTGGACAAGTGATTTTCAGCGCTGCTTCACCAAAACAAATAGTAGTCAGATGGTGCAAAGTCTGGGCTATACAGTGGGTACATCAAAACTTTCTAACCAAATTCCATCAATTTGTTCCGAGTCATCAAAAATGTGTGTCGCCAAGTCTGGTCGCCCTTTCTGAACTGCTTCATTCAAGCCTCGACTTGTAAACAGTACAGGGCCAAATTGATGGTTTCGCCAGGTTGCAGCAGCTTATAATGGACGATTCCCTTCCAATCTCGACATAAAAATTTCAGGAATGGAATCAAGGAAGCCACTGCTGGGTCCTTCGTTGACTTGCAGCATTCTCACCGTATACTTCACAAATTTTTCGGCATGTTTTTAAAGCATTTTTACCTTTTTTATAGTAAAAAAGCATCACATATTTCTTCAGATATTTCATTCATTTTCAAATCAATATAACTTTTGATAAGAGGCAACAAATTAGAAAATTATCTTCACAAATAATGGAAGTTGAATGTCACCTTTTAAGCACATGTCGTTTGAGACAATCGGGTGAGTGATGCCGGATATATAGGCATCCATCTAGTGGCAAAAAAGCACGGAGACTTTTTATATGATCCAATGTAAAGTAATAAAAAATTATCTCCCATGTAAGCTATCACAGCAGCATAAGACACCATTTTTATTATAATACTGGCTTTGTAGCTCTTTATAAAAGAACTCTCAAGAATAAACTTTACAGAAAACGATTATAAAATACAGCAATTCATTACTTTTATTGCTACACCATAACTTAAAATGTTATCACCATCAATTCTTTACAAAGATTTTATAATAAAATACCATTTTAATTAAAATATATGTTGCATTTTAGATAATATATGAAACTGAAAATAGAGAACTAGTATTTTTCAGTTATTAAGACAACAACCAGCAAACATTTTCCATATTTCTGATTATTAAGGTTCCCATTATTTAAATGGTGCCAAGATAAATAGCCAGCCATCATTAAATGGCCAGCTAAATATTGTTACTTACTGCAGGTGGTTTCTTAAGATTACTGCCCCTGTTACTTAATGGCTGTTTCTGGACATTCCCATGTAAGGTAAAATGCCACCAGACCTTTTTTTATGAACGATTAAGCATTTTCATTACTCTTTGTCAAATCAAAAATTATTAATGCTTTCTTTAGAAAAAAGACAAAATACAAAAACAACATATGCCTAATCAGAGTTTTTTTTTTCACATGGCAAGAAGTAAATATAGTTAGGACTACCATCTGTTTGGTGACAGTTTCAGACATATTTTGGCAGTTTATTGATAATCTTTTGACCATTAAAATAACAGGGGCCTTAAATAATGGCAAGTCAAGAACGGTAAACTGCCTAACAGGAAGGCATAAATTAAAAACAATCTGAAGCAAAAACCAGATAAACAAAATTAAAATAAATAAAAACACAGCAAAGTAAAAGAGGTGTGCTGCCATCTGGCAAACATAATTGCATTTGTCTTCCAAATTTAATCAAATTGTGAAAAAATTGTAGCATTAAGAACCACCAGATTTTGAACACATATAGGACTCCACTGGAACATGAACATCTTGAGAACCAAATTCTGAATTAATTTCTGAACTTATTTTTTTAAAATTTTCTTTTATTTATTTCACATTTTGCGTAAATTTAAACAACTTTTGATTAAAAACTCTGTGAAGAAAAAGATTTGTGTTCCCACTTTTCAAAATGTAAGATAACTATGTTTCAAATTTAACCAGAAAACTTGGAAAAGTGTGTTTGGCAAAAGACAAATACATTTGTCTTTCAAATTTAATCAACATACTTAGGGATTTAAAATAAATGTGTGGCCACTGTCAGAATTAAAATATTTTTATTCTTTTGTGCAGCAGTTTGTTGTCATTCTGAAAAGCATAAGATGTTTGATTTTATGTTCAAATTTAAATAATAATAAATAATTCTTTCAAATTTTGTAAATAATTCACAAAGTAAGTCATACATGCAGATTAATTTCAATTACCAACTAGCTGCTACACGGCCAGCTTTCATCTGGCTTTTAAATGTACCAGGAAAATGCCTGGAGGGAACACCAAATATTAAATTTAATAATTGCAAAGAATTTTACTCTGCAAAACAACTTTATCAAAGAAACAAATAACAATAACAAAAAAAAAAAAAAAAAAATTTCAATAAAAATGTATTATACATATAAAAAATTACAATAAAATACGCAATATCCTTAACACAAATATTAATTATCCTAATAAATAAATTAACCAACTTCCTGTTGCAAAATCTTAATAATTCAAATGGTATAAAGGAAGATAAGAACTTTGTTTCCTTAAAAAAAAACCATGCAAAACTTTTTATATAATTAAAACATAATATAAAAAAATTACAATGAAATAAGCAATAAATCTCATATTTTCAAGTTAAAACTGTCAGAGGTCCAGTATCCAAAGCAATGAATAAAAAACTGCTGCCAAAACCACATTTCTAAAAGAATGAAATGATAATCAGAAAGCAATAACCAATCAAAATTGTGCTTTGTGGATAACATAATTCAAAATATACAAACCTCTTTGCCATTAGCTAATAAAGAGAGAGAGGGGGGACAAAAAGGAAATTCTTTCTGGTGCCTCGCGAGACACATGCGCATCAGAATAAGAAGATTACGGTGTGTATGTGTGTTGCATGTATAATTAATATTTTATCGCATATTTTCAACAGTCAGCAGTCCAGTATACAAAGCATTGATGGAAAAATTGTTGCCAAAACCACATTTCTAAAAGAATGAAACTATTCAAAATGATGGCATTTTATCAAAAAAGATTTTTTAAAAAAAATCTGATCTGAATTTTGAAAAAAATAGCTTTGAGGTGCACTGGCTCTTGTCTAAATGCACCTATATACCATTTCAAAACTAAATTTCAGTTTATAACAAAAATTTCATCAAAAAAGATTTTTTTAAAAAAATCTGATTCGAATTTTGAAAAAAATCACTTCGAGGTGCACTGGCTCTTGTCTAGATGCACCTATGTACCAAATTTTATAGTCCTGGGTCTATTAGCTTATGCGCAGCACGGATAAAAGACTAGGCATATGTATGCCAAGGGATGCCAAGTATACACTTAAGTAAACATAAAATGAAAATATTTGTAAATCCCTACATATAATAAAAGAAAGAGTTTGTGCGTGTGTGTCTTTTATCCATGCTGTGCATACTTGCTATGAGATCTACTTTAATTTCTGTGAATTTGGATGCATTTCAAAACTGAATTTCAGTTTATAACAGTAATTTCATCACTCATGAAATTAATTAGATTCATTAAAATCACTGTATATTTTCTTTTATATACTAATTAGTTTAGCTGCTAGCTGCAAAAAGGGCTAGTCCATTTAAATATTTTCATTATATGTTTACTAAGCTGATATGTATGCCTGCAATAATCTTCTTTAGTAATATACATATTTGCTATGAGATCTACTTTAATTTCTGTGAATTTGGATGCATTTCGAAACTGAATTTCAGTTTATAACAGAAATAAAAAAATTACATATTTATTCAGACAAAACACAAAGCAAAACTGAATTAATTATTATAAAATTAAAAACCTACATCATCAACTGAGTTACTATACTGCAACAAATCAGAACTTTTCTGCTAAATGCGTGCAATAATTAATTGATTTCATAATTTTGAATGGATAAATAATAAAACATCCATTTTTCAAATTTTTTATTAATAAATTTATCTCCTACAGCAATAGCACAGCTGCATCACAGTTCATTTCTCCTTCTCCTCAGTCCCCAGATTCTTCTAATTTTGAACAAAATACAATTCCTTTCAAAGATGCTTCAATTAATTTACAGGTTTCCTGCATATCTTAACCTTCTGACCCAAACAGGGTTTCTTAAAAAAGCCAAAATTTCCCAAAACTGCTATGAGAAAGATATACTTCCTTGATTTTAATGCCAAAATATATTTGGTACCGTATAGCTGGATTTATGTACTTTTAATATATTGCCTTAATTTCTTGGATATATCTAAAGATGAATGTATACATATTTTGTTAAAGATGTCACACAAATTAATATTCGCCATTTGCCTTGTATTCCCTTGGCTGAGAAGTGCACCACTTAACCCTTTGCGGCACAGTGTGCCTGCTCTGGACATACCTAAAATTTCCTTCTGTATGCACAGAAAAATTAAATGAAAAAGGATTTATAGGTTACTATAGGTTACTCTGAACCTTCTTTAATTATAGTAGATGGTAGCTCAACACAAACCAGTCCATATATTTTAGCCATGTTTGGTTTTTTTAAGACCCTCATTTTTCAAAGAAATCTTCCAGATTTTTTTATGGTATAAAAGGAATTGTTTGACAAGAAATTTCTATGTTATTTTTTTTTGGCTGTATGCTAATCTCCTTATTTTATATTAGTTTTAAATTTTTACCTTGAAAACTTGCCTAAAATCAAATGGCGAACCCTAGATGTGTCCAGACTGGGCTCACCGATAACCTAGGACAACTGAGAGTCTGTATACTTTGTTTCTCCGCATCTCATCAGTCAGTTCATTGACAACAATGCTCGTTTCAGAACTGTTTTCGAAGCTATATTCAATCAGTGTGCCCAAATGGGCACACCCACAGAATTAAAATGATAAGTGCTGCTACCTTCAGAAAATTTTA